GACCCCAATGCTAGTTTACAAGTAATATATGGTTATGTAATACCAAATTTCTAGTTTACAAGTAATATACGGTTCTGTAGTACTGCAATGATAGTTTACAAGTGATATATGGTTATGTAGTACCACAATGTTAGTTTACAAGTAATGTACGGTTGTGTAGCACCACATTCTAGTTTACAAGTAATGTACGGTTATGTAGTACCACAATGCTAGTTTACAGATAATACATGGTTATGTAAAACCAAATTGGTAGTTTACAAGTAATATACGGTTACGTACTACCGCAATGCTTCTTTGCAAGTAATATACGGTTATGTCGTACAACAATGCTAGTTTACAAGTAATTAACGGTTATGTAGTACGCCAATGCTAGTTTACAATTAATATACAGTTATATAGTACTCCAATGCTAGTTAACAAGTAATATACGGTTATATAGTACCATAATGCTAGTTTGCAAGTGATATACGGTTATGTAGTACCACAATGCTAGTTTACAAGTAATGTATGGTTATATAGTACTACAATGCTAGTTTACAAGTAATGTACGGTTATGTCGTACCACAGTGCTAGTTTACAAGTAATGTATGGTTATGTAGCACTACAATGCTAGTTTACAAGTAATATACGGTTATGTAGTGCTACAATGCTAGTTTACAAGTAATATACGGTTATGTCGTACCACAATGCTAGTTTGCAAGTGATGTACGGTTATGTCGTACTACAATGCTAGTTTACAAGTAATAATTGCCGATTTACTTAAACACTTACATTTGCATTTTTACTGGATTTAATGACAGATGAGAAGTGGTCGAACAACATGGCACGTGACAAAAGTGGTGTACGTGTACCTTGCCTGGTTCTAGGTTACACTTGTTTGATGTTTACTGTATGAATATATCGTATTTGTATAACAATCTACATTTTCACGTAACTCACCTGACTAAGAGGGTATGGGGTTCTTGCTGTTAATGACCCAATATAAATAGCATGCGGCATCATAGGGCGGGGATAATCGAATGCAAAATCAGAACAGAAAAGTACTAACTCCGAATTTCCACCTAAACTCCTGTATGAAATCTCTGGTCGAATGTTATACCTTTGTTGTATACTTTTGAATGGTTTTAAAACAACAAACTCAAACATTGCAGCCGATACAAGGTATACAAAGGTATTGCTCAGTCTCTGAGGAAACGTCATCACATCTGAGTATCCTGTCAATACCGCTGGTACATATGCAGGGTTTGAGGTCAAACCATGAAGTAAATCGTCTACAACCGGTAACGCTCTCGTGGTGGAAATAACGACGAACGGGACACGCAGTGTACCAACAATAAGAGCGTAGCCTGGGTTGAAAACATTGGCAAGAATTAGATCAAAGTTCGAGGCATTCAAGCGTTCTATGGTGTTACTGTCTTGAATAAAAGCCTCGGTCTCATCTGCCAAAGCATCAAAAACGCGAAGCGTTTCAAAAATAGATGGTGCAGTATGTGCACTTTTTGTGACTAGGTTGTACGCGTCGGGAAATTCGTTGAAGCCGGATTTATACTCTTCAAAATTCATAAATGTTCGTTGTTGTTTGATCAAGCCTGCAAATCTTTGGTAGTAGAGGTCATTTATCAGCACGGTCACATTATGACCTCTCGTGGCTAGTAGTTCTCCAAATCTCGATACAGTAATGTAGAGATTTCCGAGCGGGGAACCTGGGAGAATTAGGATATTGCTGCACAAGACTGGACAGATCACACATGCTATAACAATAGCACCAATCCACCGGCTGTTAACACATGCGGCCATTTTGACGGCGTTGTCCAAGGTCACTGTGTATCAATCAAACATGTTGACACTGCCAACACACAAAATTAAATATTGATTAAACTTGATCGATGTCCTTTGATACGCGAGTGTAGTTATTGCAAAAAATAGCACTCATGTCTAAAACTGCGTACTGGTATACGTGAAAGAGAATGCAGGAAACCACTCGGAAATGTAACGTACGACACTTGGCACACACACTGTTTAGAGCTATTTTGATTCAAAGCTTGACCTGTGTCACGTGACAAGCAACCGGTTGCTAAGCAAATTTAACGGTCTCGCTTGGTTTCGATCGAAGCGGAAAATAGCCTGTTGGTAACGTAGCATTTTGTATAAAACTGATAAGAATCGGAGTGTAATTATAGTGCCTCGAAAGTGAAGGTTGAATGTTTACAACTAAAAGCGTTAATACGTCTGCTTTTTGTCATCGAATGTAAAATAGCTTTTATTGATACTTTCTATCCGCATTTAACATTAGTTTCACTATGCCCGACAGCCTTTGCGTTTTTACCGCGCGTGCGCAGGTACCGACCCTCCCGCCGAGAATAATGAAGAATAATATTATTTATAGATACACATGTATGACTGCAATTTGTCTAATATTTTTAATTTACAGTAGCTCAGGGTAAGGCCGTCTGATGATAAAATTACAAAAAATTTAATTTTTTTTTAATTTTTTTTGTGAAATACAGAGAGGAAAATATTAAGCACTAATATCAACCCTAAACGTGTTAACTTTCATTGGGATCGGCGATTTACCTAAACAATATGCTAGTGTCAATCATATCTTACAAGACAATTGTATGTTAGGTTGGGGTAACAGCCTATGCAAGTGTAACCCGATTCCTAATCGAGTACAGATGTTTATATGCAAATGTTGGGTTGCTTCGCCCCATGGTGCATTGCGCTCTCTGAATCCCTTTTGACTTGTCGGTCGGTCACCATGTGGAGTGGTTGCCTGTCGCTTTTTGTGAGCCACGGAATTGTCTTGCCAGCAGTCGGTCCTTAAAGCTTGCAATAAGAGTGCAATTTAAATTCAGTTGCAGAGTTGTCGGGCTATATTTTTGCGCCGTAAGGGGACGTGCCACGTAGGATAAATTGGTAAACTCTGAACACGTATAACCAGGATCCCGGAGTTAGCTACAAATAACCGTGCTGGATAATTACCTTGCTGTCGCAATTATTGCCGATATATGAAGAGATTATAGTGAACTGTAGTGATTTGTTAATTGTATTTTATATTATTGTTAAATGTATCTGCGAACATGTCCTGCCTAACTAGTGTGATCAGCACTTAATCTATTCCTACCGGGGTGTACCTGTGTGCAGTCAGTTGCCACTGTGTTGCATATTGTTGTATAATAATCTATTGCCATTATTGGTTGTTCCATTATCGTGTGTACGTTACACAGGTGAGTGTACCTGAAGTATTCGGTGAAAAATTGGGTTGATTGGATTTGGCCACTCTAATCTAACCTGCTGGTTACCGACAAGGTAGGCCTCGTTTTGTTACAATTAGTTGGTACATTCTCCTTAGGTGACGTACACTCGGCATGGACGTGACTGACTTTAGAGTTTATAATTTTGTGTTAATAATTATTAAATAAGCTGTTGTGAATGATAATAAGTGTGGTAACCATCATTTGGTATAGCGTACCTGGGCCCGGTGTTAAAGGCCGGTTACACAAGTTACTGCAGTATTTTGCAACTTCCTTTATTTTATGTGTACCATTGTATATATTGTCATTTTTTCAAAATGATTGCCAGAGAAACTGTGAATATTAATATGTCAATAGAATTTGCGCAGACCTTGAATACGTTTCCGATTTAATCTTTCATCGCAATCATAATGATGTTAATACTGATCATACACTACCTCCATTCAGTCAACCACTCTTGAAAACAATATGAAGTGAATACACGAGTGAACATTTTAAAAGGTGTATAACTTTTGTCAAACTTACCAATACTTAATCAAGTAAACGGAATATAATAGACAATGAAAATAAGTTTATATCCCTGGCATTTAAATGCTACACAGTAGCACAACCAGAGCAGTCAGCGATACAGTTTCTAAATCCTGATTTGCCGTTCGTAGTTTCTCCCACTTTGATTCTAAAGTGACCCTTCGATAAGTCACCGGTGTCGGGACCAAGGCAAAAACCGCGACTTGCCGGGGATCGTGACTTACCAAGGGGTCTCGGGAAAGAGGAGTTCATGCATTGAAAATTGATAACATTGCAAGTGAAAATGCATTTTAGAAATCATATTTGATGAAGGCAGGATATAGATATATAGAACATTTAAATTAACAAATGATTAAACAAAAAATGCAGGCAAGTGAAAGCAATCTAACCCACAGTATTGAAGAACATATATACTATATATTAAAGAACAATATTATTTATAGATACACATGTATGACTGCAATTTTTCTAATATTTATAATTTACAGTAGCTTAGAGTAAGGCCGTCTGATGATACAATTAAAACACATATACCAATACCAAGTTCACTTGCACTAGAGGTTGGTATCTTTACTTAACTATACAGCTGGTCTCCAAACTGGGTTTTTGGCATACGTTTGAACACTTTATTACATGACATTGATGCATCGTAAAAATACTGACATTAACTGCGGTTTGTTTGATAAAATTTACTCTGGCGTTGGAGGGTTAGCGACTGCAAACTTTACAAATAAACTATCGTTACCAATTTGAATACACGTTTTAAATTCATAGACAGATAGAACTATAAGGTAACAATGAACAAGCGAACATTCAAATTACGATAATGAAGTAAATGGCTAGTTCTTTTTATCTGGTTACCTGTATCACAAAGTAACCCATAACGTTTTCGATATAATGTACTTCACACTGTGTCGTAATGATAACAATTATCACATCTCATCTGTAACTATGTCGCCTTGGTTTTATCGATTATGTCATTTAATTTGAAGCCATTCTACGCGTCATTTATGTTTCTATGACATATATTCAACTGTACATCAAAAGGATGCAACGATGAATCATGTCGTGGTTTATATCATGTCGTTTAATGAGAAGCCATTCCATGCGTAATTTATTTTGTTGTGACATACATTCAACTGCCCATCAAAAGTGTGGAAGGGTGAACAATGTCATGTCATTTAATGTGAAGCGATTCCAAGAATCATTGATATTTCATGGCATGTATTCAACTGCCTATCGAACGAGTGGGACATTGAAACACGTCGTGGTTTGTCATGTCATTTAATGTGAAGCCATTCCATGCTTCATTTATGTTTCCACGACATATTTTCAACTGTCCATGGTAGGAATGGAACGGTTTATCATTTCGTGGTTTGTCATTTCGTTTAATGTGAAGCCATTCTATGCGTCATTTTTTTCATTGTGACATATATTCAGCTACCCATCGAACGAATGGTACGGCGATCATGTCGTGGTTTATGTAATGTAATGTCATGTCATTTAAAAGTAAAGCAATTCCCTGAGTCATTTATTTTTCTACTGTATGTATTGTCTATCCGCCCAAAGTCTTCCAACGTTTATTTGATTTATTATCTATCAGTGACACTAATAAACAATCGCATAAATATTCTGTTGGAACGAACAGGAATACGAAATACAATACCCCGCACTCCACGACGCAACACAAAGGCACACAACGAAAATATGTCAAATAATTCTAATTTAATGATACAATTGGCATAAACCATTAGCAGCAGTAATATAAATTACACACAGGTCACCGATATACATTACAATAATAACAATAATGATAATAGCCCAGCTCGTACTGCGTAGTTCCAGCGAAAGTACAGTCATTCACATTAACGTCGACGACGAAAGCAGTTCTACAGTCAAACGACTAGGTCTCAAGGAATGCAATCTACACGACACGGACCGTAATGTTACGCTACTTCCATACTGTCGTTCTGTGGCGAAACACAGGTCTTTAAATAATGTTGGTTTTAAAGCGTAGAACCAAAGCCGGCTGTTAAGTATCTGTCAGTCCCACATCGCATATTGGACAGTTATTATCTTGAGGCTGCTGCCACGTTGACACTTCACTGTACTTGAGCTGAATTGCAACGCACGGCACTGTCCTGGAGCTGGGTGACAACTGACTAACTCGTGTTCACGTTCGTCTTGCACACAAGCACGAAGAAAAGACAATACACACTGTCTATTGTAATTCCGCAGCTGGGCAAGCCTCGTTAGCTAACTGGGCATTATCAAAATACATTTATATTACATCAACAAATATAATATCACAACACTGTTCATAACCGGTTATATTTTGATTTGTTTTGTATTGTGTTCGGAAAAGTTTGACACTGTGACAGAAGTTCGTTGGGTGAAACGAAAGAAACCCGAACACTATTCATCACAGCAAGTCAAATCACATCACACAAAGTGAGATATATACTTTTTTGCTTGGTTTGTCATTGCTATGGCAGTAATTAATAACAAAGATTGAGAATGGATTGAGAATTTTCAAGTAGAAATTAGAGCTTCCGATGCTAACTGATTTATATATTTAAATTATAACATTATAAGAATCACATGATTGATGTAGCTGTTTACAAAATTCTCAGGGGACGCTAACAAAGTTTAATTAAATTTGGTGCATAGAACGTTTTAATAATTACACATAATAATTCTCCCCTTAGATGTTCAATCGAATTTTTCATTTCATGTTGTGTGGTTTTTATTAGTTAGGTTTTCCATCTGAATTATTTATATTATTTGTTTATTTCATTTGTGTTGTTGAAAATATATTCTGTTAGTTAAGATTATCAACAGAACTCATTCCCCAGACAATTAACATTGACCTTGAGCAATGCTTAAATTAAAACTTTAAAGCAATATATTTAAGCATTTAAACTTAGTAGATATTTCATTATTATGTAGCTTAAATTCAAACATGGACAAGCATTTATTTCAAATCGTAAATTTAAGCAAAGACAAGCATTTTAT